TGTTTTGCAAGTAATTTCAAGGCTTTGAACCCTTTAATCTGAATTTAACAATTGCTTTGCAAGTTATAATATTATGTCCTCTGTTGCTTTAATACAGAATGAAAAATAATAGAATTTAGGAAGTAAATAAGGTTTCACTTGAAGCTCCCCTCTGTTTTAACCTGCCAGAGATGCTATTCTATACTAATATATATATAATATTGTTGCTAAGTTTCCATTGATTATACTATTCAGTGCAGCTGAAAAATGTGGAAACGTTAAATGGAATATATTGAAAAATATGTTCATTTCAAGATGAATTTCCAGAGAGTAAGAGTTATATATGAAACAAAAGCATTTGCATCCATAAATTTATAAGTATATATATAAGTGTGTAAAGTATGTCTTTTTCAAGTGCTAATTTATCCATAGAATTCTACATGAAATGAGCATGATATGAAAGTCAATCCATCAGTCAGAGTAGAGCGTGAAGACATCCCTCATGCCCAAAGTGGAAAAAGAGACTTTAAAATAATAATTGTTTTAAGGTAGCTTCATTTCTAGGCGGATGATCCACATGAGATGAGCAGCAGAAGGCTGCTGTGAGGAAGGACGTTGAATCCTTCACCCCCACATTCATGGCTTTGTATTTCAGTTGAGAAATCTGTATAATTAAGACTACAGGTTTCATTTTTTTTTTCCACAGAGGAAATTTATCATTATTCTATCTATTTCATCTAGTTCATAAAAGGCACAAATTTGATTTTATTCCTTGGGGTTTTTCTGTTTAAGTATTAAATTGCTAATAGTTTCACACATCACACCAAACCGCAAACATGGTTCACAAGCTATCATGCCCACATTTACATATTAAAGTGAATAAAACCTTCAAAACTATAGTCTGCCTTAATGTAATATGTTAATCCAATCAGTCTCTTGTCCATTTCTTTCCAGTAGTTAATTTCCTCCCATTTTACCGGCAAAATATCATCATCTTTGCCTCCCTTGCTTTTTTCTTTTTGTGCTTTAATAACAGTTGTACTTGAATGAAGGGGAGTTTTATAGGATGATGTCATAATTTTGTTCATTTACTACTAAACTTTTCATCCCTTCCCTGAGTGAGCTTTTGCCTTTCTAACAGCTGGTGTCCTCAATTAGCTACATGTTTCCCCATAACAAAAACTTGTTGCTGTCCAGATGGAGGCAAAAATTGTTGGATTAATGATGGTCTATTGTTTGTGCTGTGCTGTTAACTTAGAATGTAGTAAATGTAAATTATATATCAGCATATGTTCAAACTTGTGCCCTGTTCTGGGGTTCAGATAAAATTTTGTAAAACATTTGAAAAGCAATATTGGCAATATTGGCTTATGGAATAAAAGTAGAAAAACTGAAGAAAAATTCAAATTCATAATATGGAAATGCTCTGCTTATTTCTAGAAATTATGGTGGAAAGGGGATATTATGTTGCTGTAGGATAGCTTATGTACTCTTAAAGAAAAAACTAGTCTTCAATATAACTTAATAGCTAAGGTCAGCATAAATATACAGATATTTTATTCAATATTACTCATAGATAATTAAATTAATTTATAGACTATTCATTTACTGTTGAAAATAATTTGAAAATAGGTTGCAAAATTTGCATTTACAAATGTATTTATTTTATTGAAAAAATGTACATAGCCACCCATTTTATGATTTCATCTTATGAAATTCAGCCTTAACTATGGTGGTGCAGTGGTTAAAATGCAGTATTGCAGGACTCTGCCCACTGCCAGAAGTTCGATCCTGACTGGCTCAAGGTTGGCTCAATCTTCCATTCGTCCAAGGTTGGTAACATGAGGATCCAGGTTCTTCGGGGCAATATGCTGACTCTGTAAACTGCTTAGAGAGGGCTGTAAAGCACTGTGAAGCAGTATGTAAGTCTTAAGTGCTATTGCTAAATGGCTACCAGTAATAATAAAAACAAATAAATCCAACAAACAAACAAGAAAAACCTGGCATCCAATCAACAATATCTATCCAAATATATGTTTCCCTGGGCTATCCCAGTGATATCCCAGTTAAAACAGCTGTTACTTTTTCTTATGCTGTTTAAATTGTTATAGTCAATGTTAGAACTTTAGTACCTTGAGTATATTGCTGAGGACAGCCCGATTAATTTTTTGCAAAGAAATATTATCTGGGACTGAAAATGTTGACTTTAATGAATGTGGAAAGCTTATATCATAAAGCAATGGCGTAAAAAGGCATTAGAAAAGCAGCAGACGTAATGACTAATGTACTGGTTTAAATAGTTGTAATATTTTGTGACAGCTTATTTGATTGCAGTTTATAGTACAATTTTGTTTATTTATTGGTCTGAATAATTATACATCAAATATATTTCCCATAAAGAAGTCTTTAAAATGTCATCTTCATGCCTTTAAAACAAATATTTTAAACCACTGAACAGTGAAATGTATCATCTTTTATTCTAATACTTATTTTCTTCTTATGTGTGTGTTTATGTGTGTGTGTTTTATTCATCATGACTTTGGGTGCGGCTGCGTTTGTTGGTCAGACTCTAATTGTGGATTGCTTTTAGTATGTTGACAAGGGCGTATGGCAATTGCAAGGGGGAGTTTGCTAGGTTCTACACTGACCAGAGTGCTGGATGGAATTCAGAGGTGTTGAGATGCACCTCTGGATATGGTCATCAGCTTTGGAATAGGTATCATCAGTGTAGTGGTAACACCCCTTTCTGTTGTTCCTTATCATTCATTTCATTATTATTAATTAACATTAATTTGAATGATTAAATCCAGAAAAAGGACAATACTGTTGGTAATGAGAAAACTGGACTCAAGATAGATGTGAAGTTTATTTAGTACAAACTTTTTCTTTTCAAAAAAGGGTATGTTCACAGTTTGGGACTACTCCTTGGCTCCCAATTGTTACTGGATTTGCATATGAAGCTATGGCAAGGAACATCTTTCCATAACTATAGTGATTGTGCCAACTTTGATTCTTCCTGAGCTAGTCTGACTTGGCCATTGTTATCTATGCCTTGATTACATCTTTTATGAATTATTTCAATGTGGATCTGCTGTTGAAAAATGACCAACAATAGTTTTTAATGCAAAATGATTAAACAAACTGTTGTCTGGCACAAGTTATGTATTATGTATGTTAAATATGGTCCAAATCCAAGAATCGGTCATGATTGAATGGAAGAAGAAGAAAAAACAGTTGTGGCAATAACTTGCCAAGCACAATTTAAGATATTAATGTTGAACTTTAACACTCTAAATAGCTTAGGAACTGATTATCTGAGGGATCATCTCTTTTCTTTTAATCTGTCCAGTTATTTAGATCAGCAGGAGAGATCCATTTGGAGATTCCCCTCTGCCAGAAGCCTGCTTAATCTGTACATGGAAAAGGGTATTTTCCTGTGTGCTTATGAAGTATAGTTTATAAGCAGGTACCCTTCCCCTTCTGCTCTCCTAGTAAAATTGTAGAAATCCATCTCTTTTACCAAGTGCTTAAACAGAGGTTCAAGTTACTGATTTTAATTTTGTTCTGGTTTTAATTATATAACAGTATGATAGGATTTAAGTTAGATAAATGAATATCACAAATAGGAATTAAATTAATAGGAGTTTAAAGAAACCAACAGAGGGCTGGACAATGAATAATGAACATATTTGTCTGCTATAATTCCTTTTCAGTGATTGAAGAAATGCTCATTTTTTCTTTTTAATGAATTGGGGTTATAAATATTGCTAATATTGCTTTGAACCTTCCTAAAGTTGTTGCTTTCATTTGAGTGCACTGATTTAATATATCTCTGAGTTTGTCTACCTGTTTCCCTTAGTATTATTCCTTTATGCTATGAAATGTATAATCAGTGAGAGGTCTTCTCAAGCATGCCTAATAAAGATCTTGTGCTATTCTGCATAATGCAAATCATCTTATTCTTTTCTGATAGCAATATCACTTAGATGTATATCTAGCTTCACAGTGCTTTACAGCCCACTCTAAGCAGTTTACAGAGTCAGCATATTGCCCCCAACAATCTGGGTCCTCATTTTACCTCATTTTTCAAGTGCCTTTGAAATGTGACCACTGATTTTATCTACTGGATACCTGTTTCTCTGCCATATATTTTATTAAAACCAGATACTCTGTCTTATAACATTTTTCATTAGATTATCAATATAGGCGTAGCTCTTTAAGACTCATACCCATAGAATCTGTCTTTCAACCTACAAACTGTTGAAAGTTATATAGGATATTAAGAATGCATCCAAAGTTAATTCTGCCATTTACTTGTATACAATTTAAAATTGAATACTTTGGATTTTTTTCAATGATATCTCTTCAAGATCTCATACAAGAGTTGATGATATTGGTTTTCCCACTGCAGGTTTCTTCAATGCAAACTAAGATACACTTGGTTTATATTTTCATGGTCTGATCTTGTAAGAGATATTTCAGTAAAGATACATAGCTAAAGATATAGAAACAATGTTAAGATAACAGTAACCTCAAAAGTTCTTTTAGGTAAATAGGTTTTTGCTTAACTCTTTCTAGCAGTGGCAATTTTTATTTGGATTAAAATGCATATAAAATATTTAAAATGCTCTTTAAGTAAAATTTGTTGAAAGGGCTCTTTGAAACTTTTATATCAAGATCATAAAGCTATTGATATAGTCAGTTCATCAGTATTATAAATATTTGGGCTTTTCACATGTAATATAATAAATTTTAATTATTTTTCAGTAATCTTTAAAAATGATAGATGCATTCATATATTAAAGATAACATAGATATATTGTATGGGTTTTATATTGAGCCAAAGCTTAGATTAGAAATTTGATATGATTTTATTAGCTGATTTCACATGACCATCTTTTTCTTGAAACTGTTTAGTATGTGGTTGTCTAGTTTCATTGAATCATACTTCTGGAAGAAAGCCAGTGATATGAATAAGAAATACTTTTTAAAAAGCTAAATATTAATATCTATTGCTGCAGGATAAAAAATGGATTCTCAATCATGAAGACGTCATTCTGGGAGAACTACTTGGCAAAGTAAGTAACTATCAAAGTAATGGGGAAACTCCTAAATATTAAACCTTATTAGAAAACACTTTCTTCTTACAAGACATAGTAGTTATTAAGCCTTCTCAATGCATGATAGAACAGCTGTTTTAATTTATATCCAGTTTGCCTCTTTAGTTTGAGGTCTTTCCAGAATATCAGCTACAACCACGGGAAGTCAGGAAAGAACAAGCAAGACAGGACTTGGTGCTTTCTGAGCTTAGTTGAGAGAGTACCAGGATCCCACAATTCAGCCCTAAGCTATAAACAGCCTCTTCTATTCTTGATAGGACTGTGGGGACTCATAACAGATTTCAGCACAGATCATGGAGGGCAATATGTAGTACATGAAGGTATAAATAAAAAGACAGGAATGAAGATTACAGATTTTTTAGTTTGCAGTTGTTATTTTAAATAATTTGAAAACACTCTCACTTCAGGTTATTTCTTCAAACTAAGATGTAATAGAAATCTGTGCATGTGTATGAATGCGTGAATTTTGAATTCATTCAATTCAAAAAATACTATTGAATGAAGATATGTTGATTAATCTTTCTTTATATCATCACCACATTGAAACACTTAAAAGTCACTTGAAGAATTTTGGATGACAGTTCAGAGAATGACTTTTTAAGTGAAAAGGTATTAAATTCACAAAGTACTTAGTAAAACTTAAAAAGATTAGAATAGGGTCAAGGATGCTAATTCTAAAACTTCTTATAATATTTCTCACTCCAGATGCTAATGAAATACTCTGTCATGTGAAAGCTTGTACATGCCATTAATATTGCTAATTTATTGTCTTATTAAATATAAAGCTGCAGTCATTAAATGTCAGGGGAGGTAAATAATATCAAAATATGATTTTTTTAAATATTTCTTTTTTCTTTTTATTTAAAAAAAAAGAAACAGTTGACATATTTGAATATAGAAACATATTCTGTAATCTTAAAAAAAAATTAAGAAACATTGCTTTATGGGGTTTATTTCTTTAAGATTTAGCCATATTATGGTCTCCAAAACAGAACCAGTGTTAAAAGATAGGTTTGATTTCATTTTTTTCTAGTTGATAGCAGTTTGCTATTTGTATTCTATTTGTATTCTGAAGAAGAGTCATATGCCCAGGCCTAATATGGCTTTAATAATGTTATATTTGAAGTGATTATTCTCAAACCTCTTGGGTATTGATGCTGACGTGAGGATAAATTATACCATAGATTTCTTGTATTTATCTTTTATTTTGCCCCATTATCCTAGTACTATTGAATTGCAAGAGTACCAGAACATTCTTTTTTTTAAAAAAAATTAATAAATGTTTAAAATAATTTTAAAAGATGTTAACACTGGTGCTAAACTGAGATAAAATTAAATATAAATGGAGTCTCCACTAAAGAGAACACATTCTTCATATGATCTGATTTCACAAGGAAGTGCACAGGAAAGTTGCTAAAACTGCACCTGCATTCTTCCAAACAATATTATATGAGTTTTTATTAGTCTTATCACTAAATCATTTTTTGAAAAATCCTCTGGCAACACTTATAATTGTGTGGGCACATGTGTGGCCATTCACAAGCCTTTGAGTCAGTGTTGACTCCTGGCAACAGCCTGGACAACCCCTTTTTAAAGAAATTTTTTTAAGAAAATTTCAGGAATGGTTTGCTTCCTAGGGCTGAGAGAGTGTGATTGGCCCAAGGTCACTCCACTGGCTTCATGTCTACTTGACTATCCACTGTTATAGCAATTTAAATACCACTTCTGAGAAATACTAACATAAATAACATGGGAAATACCACAATTTTAAAATATGAGCCCCACCCCTTTGAGGCATGTGCAAGTGCAGCAATTACATTATGATACTAGTGATGTCAGTCTGACTCCCCTTGTCCTCTGAAGATACTGCTGTACTGCACTAGTTCATGTGTTAAAAATAATATCTACTTCTCTAAGTCACATGAGTTTATATAAGAAAATTAGCATGACTGCATTGAGTTAAGGTATTCTGATATTTTATGCATTTAGAACATGATTTTGTTCACTGTTTTCTTTACTGATAACTTCTAATATTTACAACTTCAGGGTAACTTTGGTGAAGTCTATAAAGGAACATTAAAAGATAAAACACCTGTTGCTGTAAAAACGTGTAAAGAAGATCTTCCTCAGGAACTGAAAATAAAGTTTTTATCAGAGGCCAGGTAAGAAGTAAAAAAAATACCAAAATATATAATTTTAAAAGTCATTTGGTGGCTGAAAATATTTCCCATTTCAAAATGTATTTCAATTTGAAAGTGTTTATGCTATTACATTGATAATAATGTAGAAGTCACTTAAATTAAGCCTCTCTGGGATGGGGAAAGGGCAGAGAAATCAGCAATGAGAACATTATCCTAGATTTTTTTCTATACACAAAGTGAATATATTTAGATCTTTACTGTTTTCATAAGCAAGATATATCTAAAATGATACTCTCAAAAATTCGGTAAAATCTTTCATGACTTGATTTGTCATTAAATTTCTTGGAAGAATAAATGTAAGTGAATGAACTTTTTTCTTATGATAAATTAAAGAGCATTTAGAGATTAATACACTACATTGATGTAAGGAAATTTTCTACCTCTTTTCAGAATACTCAAACAATATGACCATCCCAATATTGTAAAACTTATAGGAGTATGCACTCAAAGGCAGCCTATTTATATTGTGATGGAGCTTGTTCCAGGTAATGTTGGTTTATAATATTATTTGTAAATAATATATTTATATGCCATTTCTCCTCTATTTTTCTCTTTATTTCACTTTTGTATTTTGTTGTCTTGGACATGCATTTTATGCTTTTTAAAATACATCATTTTGGAATTTAAATGTGTGATTGATCAGATTAGATAAAAGTGGCTTGAGGAAATTCAAAATCATGCTTATATTTTGCTTTTGCCAGGAGATGTAAGTAGTATCAAAACCATAGCTTTTAAATATATCTCATTGTAAATTTTTCTAGAACATGGAAATTTGCAAATCTTGGCTGATCCATGTTACTTGTAAATATTGAATATTCAATATAAAAAAAAAGTAAAAAAATGCCTCTGTTGTATGAGATCTATTAAAAGTATAAAGAAATATTGATTAATATGTCAAGTTCATGTAAAAGAAACAAGGTTGAAAGTTAAGAGAAGCTATATTGCAGGATTGTTTTCACGTATTTTCCACATGGTGATCCCTATGCATGAATTCTTATATTTGTAATGCTAATTTGTTGCAAACATTGATACGTTTTGCAACCAATGTGCATGTTGTCATAGAAAGCAAAATTAATCCTAATGTCCCTTTTACAAACAAAACCCCATTCTTTAAAATTTGGTTTTGGAGCAAATGGTTGTATTTTTGCTAACTGCATTTGTATATATTTATTTGTGCACAACATATTTCTGGTTTGGTATGTATGTTTTGGAGAAAAAGAATAATTAATATAGAGAAGAGAAAAGAATTGGAAGCGACAAGATGAATATTTCATTTAGTTCTTTAAAATGGGTGTTGAAATGATTTTATATGCAGCAACCATTGATGGCTGCTGGTAGGTTTTACTCTAATGTAGAGTAAAGTTTTCCATTGTGCTCTATACATAAAATAGTCCACAGTAAGTACGTTTTGATATAGTAATTATCAAAACTTTAATCAGGTAAGTAATTCACTAAATGTCATAAAATTAAAATTCAAAAATTCATAATTGTATGATACAATAAAATATCCATAAAGGATAAAAATTAATAAAATAGATAGCGAGGTCAGTCTTCTAATGCTACTCTTACTATTTCCTAAGATGGTCACAGTAGCCCACTTGAAATCTTTGGCTTCACTTTATTAAATGTTGTACAACAAAAAATGTTTTTAGTGCCTTCTTTTCTAAGAAGGCACTAAAAGCTGCAAAAGACAAAAACCAGAAAAACATGATATGTGAAGTCTTATTCCCCAATTTCTGACGTGCTTTGTCTAAAAGGACTGTTCCTGTTGCATAATCACAAGATATTAAAATTTAATTACTGCTTGTATTTGTGCCGAGAAATAGATAATGTACGATATGAAAAGTGAGGTCAAAAACATAAGAGGTTATTAGAGGCTATGGACGATAAACTCAACTAATTTTGCCATATAAAGCTTCAACTACAATTGCAAATTGTGAAATGGCAACTGTAAGGGGAAGAATGGGTTAAAAAGTAGAGGTGCATTCATAATGTCTCTTTGAGTGAGTTCAACATTTCATAGACTTAATTCAATATATTTAATAATTTTAATACCCACATTTTTTTCATTATGTTTTTAGTCTTGGTTCAATTTATTTTATGTGATCCAAAATGTTTATTGATAAATATTTTAGTGTCACATAAGATAATTCTAACATGGATTTTCTTCACTTTTGGATTGCATTGCTACTGTAGTTTAATCTTGAAACCAATGAAAGAGTTTAAGGTACTTATTTGCAGTAGCATTAGTAGAATATACCTATTATAGTTTATTATCAAAAGCATTTTTTTCAACGCTGTCTACTATTCCTGCCTGAAACGTTCAGGTAACCTGGCCAGTATATATTAAAATTCTCTATCTAAAAATGTGTACTAATAGTAAGCTCACTCTATTAAAACATAATAAATTATATAAAAATCTTCTGTGATTATATTTGGTATCTTTGGTTGACAGATTTGTAAAATGAGTATCAGGATGGGGACATGATTATATTTTTGAAAATTAGCCTTCCCCTAAGCTCTAGGTAGCCAACCATTCTTTTTCCAGTCATAGGAAGCAATGCATATAGATAGTATCATTCAGAAGCTCACACCTATAGTGTCTAGAATGAAAACCAAGTCATTACACAACTAATTTCTTACAAATAAAAGACAGTGTTATTAAAGTTAGTGTACGGTTAAAAAAAAAGAACCAGCAGCAAGAGATCAGTTCTTGCAGACAAAAAATAGAAACACAACTAGAAGTGAAATGTAATCAGGAATCAAGATTAAATGTCATACAAAAGAGTAGTAACTATCAGTGTAAACAAAGCATGCACTGCACTAGGAAACTTAAATATAATTTTCATTAAGAATTTTAATTACATATAACAATAAAAACCAAATGTAAACTAAACTTAGAGAAAGACAAGCCAATGGAAAAGAAAGAATTGGAAGGAAGGAAGGAAGCTGTGGTTTCATATTTCAGCCAATAGAATACTTGTTAATTTGTTCCTTTTAAATGCATATTGTTTCCACACAATGTAATATAGATTTAATCCCTTGTAAATCATTGGCTTTTTTTGCTAACAACATTGTTATATGGTATCGTGCTCTGGAAGGAGGTCCTAAAACAGCATCTAGTGTGACTAAATATAACAACATAACAACGTATAGCTATGAATATCATGCCAATGCACTTTTTATGATTTGTAATATTTCAATCTTTATTCCTGTTGGTTTCATCCTTCAAAATACTGATGATGTTGTGTTAGTGTGTACTTTAAAGTGCTATTCCACATTATTTGCTTGGTTGTGGTGATATTTCATTTCATGCTTAATGTTCTAATCCAAATGAGAACAGAAGAGCATAACCTGTCATAACATAATCACACTGAATATACATTAATACTTGGAATCAGGTCTTCAGGTTGCACATTACTAAATTGGAATTTAGTACATTAAATCCATGAAAACAGGAGAAGCTCCTGTGTAGTTGATTATCCTGTTTTGTACTCTTGGAGGAAACTGAAATCTTTGTAGGTAGAGGTTCTTATTTTGTTTCCAATCTCCTACACTTGGTAAACCTTCATTCAATTTTCTAGATAAACACTGATGCAGTGATCTGGGCACATAAATTACACATAATTCTTGTTTAGGAACCACAATTGGAATTAGCAATTCAGTCATTAAGCAAAGCAGTCACTAAGTGAAACTGCAATTTCACTTTTCTTTGCTTTACAGACCTGTGATGTAATGCAAGGATTGGTCATAAAGTTACTTCTACATCACTGTTGTAACTGCAAACAGCTGTTAAACAGGACAGTAGATAAACAAGGAGAATGTGTGTGTGTATTTGGGTATATAATGAATGTTTATCCAAATAAGTAGAATGGCTGTGTATAAAAGCATACTTCTGCCTACTTTCTTATATGAAAATAAGAGTGGGTATGTCAGAAGAAACAAAATTGAGCTGAACGCAGTAGGAATGAGATACTTAGGAAATGTATGTGGTTAAAAAAAAAAACAAATTTAATCAGTGTATGTGAATTGAAACAAAGGAAGAAAGAGTGAATGGGTCAAGAAGAAATGAAAATCATAAATAGTGATTTAATGGAGTGAAGAGATCCTCAGAAATGAAAAAGTCAACCTTTTTAAAAACAAAAGATAATCCTTTCTTACAATCACAATTGAGACAGGAATTTCCACCACTAAATGATGTAGTCCTAAAGTGAGACATCGCCTTCCCCATTAGCAGGTGCGAGTTGGACAGGATGAAGATGTGCTACTTTAAGAATTGCAGCCACTTCTAAAATGGTGTCTGCTTCCCAGATGACATCATATGGCCTCTGTATAGGAAGGTCATGTGGCAGATCAGCTGCTTCTCCTTTCCAAAAGCAATCTTTGGAAAAAGTAGGTGGACTGAGATATGATATGAGACAGGAGGTTGTAAGACCCAATGGGGCAACAAGCACATCTAAGGCCTGTGAGGACCCAACCAGTTACGAGGTAGATGCAAGGTGAACCCAGTGAGAAAAGATTTTGGTTGTTAAACAAGGCAACCATGTGGGCAGCCTCACTTAACTACCACTATGACTTATTATCATAATAGGTAGACTCCATTAAGGTCATAAGTCAAGGACTATTATAAAACATTGTGAAATATAAGTATTATCATAAAGCAATTTATGACATAACTCAAAATGTGATAAAATCTTTCCTGTGCTGATGTTTGTCTGCTATACAGTTCCGTATGGGGTATTTTCAAGGCAGATATCCCAACTTTTCTACTGAAGGAAGCACATTAGAAGGTCTGTCATTGTTGCAGTCATTGAAGAATCTAGCAAGAAAGTATCTCTGAAATGATTACCCAAAAGGATACAGGTTGTTTAGTAATACATTTTTGTATCTTTCTCCCCAAGCCATTTCATAGGTCACTGACAATCCATTTAAAGTGATCTCAGATACTACACATACTGAATTCCTCCCACCCTATATCTGTTAAAAGTCCTTTCAGAATTGTTCATAGATTTCAGATGATGTTGGTTTTCTCCTAATTTAGAGGAATTTTGCTGTAAAGAGTTCCAAGTTACATACAAGTAGAAAATTTACTGTGTAAAGTATATATAAATATCAGATACAATGAAGTATAAACATAGCATAGTAGTTAACTTTTCAATAATAATTAGATAACCATCCTCCAGAGCAGTGGTCCCCTAACATTTTGGACACCAGGGAGTTTTTTCTTTAGGGATGTGGTTTCGCATGCTGCTTTCATCCCATGGATGAGGCTTTGCTTGTTTGTGTGGTCCCATTTCTGGCATGCGGCGGCCTGCTACCAGTCCAGGGGCCGGGGGTTGGGAACCCTTGCTCCAGAGAATAGACTAAACTTGTAATAAATGTTATCTCTTTGCCAATTTATAACCAGAAAATCCTGTTCTATGTGAAATCTGAGGCAAAGGGGAGGTGATTTAATCCCACTTCCCAGTTGCTGACTCTGCCATTT